ATATAGGATGTTGGGGATCGAACCCAGGTCAGCCATTTGTAAGATAAAGGCACTACTCACTGTTCTATTGCTCTGGTCCTGAACTAGAATATCTTAACAAGGTTGTTACAAAGATTTGAGGTTGTCAAGGATGTGTGGAAGCTTAATTGTCTACGTAGTATATTAAATATTAATTTACTCTTGTATCTTTACCTTACACAAAGATTTTTCAGTTTCCTGAAAAAATTATCTAGCCATGGTTTTATATGGCATTCGCGGCCTTGCAACCTCTTATTGTCTAGTATTCTCTCAGAGAATCCGGCAGGCTACCAAAAGTATCCTGCCTGCATATATGCCTGACTGAGAACACCTATAAAGGTGATTAGAGGCTGCCCCAAAAGCCTACATCCCTCTTGGAGAGCCCAGCAAGCTACTGAGAGTATCCCGCTCGCACGGCAGAGCCTGGCAAGCTGCTCGTGGCGTACTCGATATGCCAAAAACAGCAACAATGATGGTCATCATTCCTATGACCCTGAAAGAGCCCCCAATATGCCATCGGTCTACACTAGCACGTGACAGGGATGGATGGAGACGTTACTGGTGCCCACTTGAGCAAATTGATGAACAACGGGATGACAGTGATACAGTGATACAGTGATGGTTTTACAGAAATGTTTGTTTATGTATTTAAAGTGACATATGAACAACTTAGTGATGAGAAATGGACAATGGTGAAATTTCTGCTTTCTTCTTTCTACATGATAAAATGGTAATATTGAGCTCTACCTTGCAGTTAGTTACAAGGATTAGAGAAAATTCATTTAAAGTACTTGATCCTGCTGTAATCTGAGAAACCAATCTGTAGTAGATATGTTTTAATATTATTAATAATTAGAGTTAAATTAGAATTAAGAATGTCTTATTTTGAGTAATGGTAATGTATCCCAAAGGCATTATTACCTCACACTACTGTTCTTTGAAGAATAAATGGATAATCTAAAAGGCAAAGCTTTTTGAATATACACAATGTACCTGGAGAATTTGCTTTTAATCAAATAGACCCAGTGGGAAAATTAAGATTTCAGACTATTTTGGCAAGTAAGTTTATATGGTCAGGTAGGAAATGGAATATTCAGAAGGTCCTCTGAAAATTTATTCAAGAAAATTATAAGTGCCTACCCACTCTAGGTAGATGAAAAGCAGTTGTGACATTTGGGCATTTTCTTGTGATTTATGTTCTTACCCTGGCTATTACAAAGAAGACATCCAATGGAACTTGGGCTGCTTGTGTGTTGGGAGTTCACAAAATACCAACAGTTTCAATTGTTTGTGAGTGATTCATTTGGAGTAGTGAAAAATAGTGTCTTCCACACGACATATTCTCTTAAGTATTTGTTGAATGATTGAAGAATGTAGGACACAAATCAAAAGGTCTGTGACTATAGAATCGTAGCTCTGAAAGGAATTGCAGTAATTATTTTCCATTGGTAATATTATGATTTCACCTTAAAGACATTATATAAAGAGAGATAAGCCAGAGAAGGACAAATACTGCTTGGAATCTTAATGTGGAATCAATGTCCTTTTACATTTTTTTGAAAAATTTTTAATTTATTTTTATTTTTATTTAATTTATTTTTATTTTATAAAGTTGTTTTATATAAACAATAATTTGTTATATTTGCTCGAGCGGGCCCAGTAACGTCTCCATTGGAGACTTTGTTGTTACTGTGTCTGGCATATCGAATACTCTCGGTAGCTTGCATATTTCAACACCAATTCCACTACCATTACAACTACTCACCACCATATTTCAAATGTTTCCACCCCAACGTCCAAAACCTGCCCCCAAAGCATGATCTAGTTTATTTTGTATTTCTTTCTTTTTAAAAAAAAAAATTATTGAATCACCGTGAGAGAGTTACAAGCTTTTGTGTTTGGGTTACAATCACACAATTATCAAACACCCATCCCTCCACCAGAGCACATTCCCCACTACCAATATCCCCGGTATACCCCCCCCCCCCCTTTCCCACCCTCCCCCTGCCTCCATGGCAGATATGATTCCCCATAATCTCTCTCTACTATGGGGCATTATGGTTTGCAATACAGACACTGAGAGGTTATCATGGTTGGTCCTTTATCTACTTTCTGCACATATCTCCCATCCCAACCGATTCCTCCAGTCATCTTTTCTTAGTGATCCCTTCTCTATTCCAGCTGCCTTCTCCCCTTTGCCTATGAGGCAGGCTTCCAGCTATGGAGCAATCTATCTGTGCCGTGTATCTACTACATTTGAAGAAACTTAGAGAAATCTCTGATCAGAGAAACTTGTAACTCAAAGACATCTTAGTAATTATTAAATCTACCCTTCTCATTCTACAGGTAAAGAAACTGAGGCAAATAGGAATAAAACAAATTATAGTTTAAGACTAAATCCTAGAGGAAAAGACATTGGATACATCGATGTTGAAAAAAATGTAGGTACTCAGCACATGCTGTAAAATCTATTAAAACTGACTCATTCAGTTTGGATGAGGTAAGTGTTGACATTAGACAATTTGGTGGGGGAGCATTCATTTTCCTATTTATTAAAATGTCAGAAAGAGTACTGATGGCACCTCCTAAAAAACCTGCAGGTGGTGGTCTTCAAAGCATAATTCTCAGTTTTGAAGAAGGTAAAATCTCTAATATTTAAGGCTAAAGATAAAAATGAGTTTAAAATGAATACTTTTAGACTATTAAAGCAGGCAAGGTTCATAAAAAATGAAAGCCAAGAACAGAAAGAGATAAACATATATGGAATATTTATATAAATTTATAAAATACATGTATAATAAACCACAATTTAAAGCTACAGAATATTAAACTAGGAAAAGACAAACTTCAAAGCAATTCACACATTGAGTGAATTCTCCAGTGCTTCTTCAATAATTTATTTCTTCTCAAGTTACATTTTGTGCATGTCCCTGTGGAAGACAATATTGCCTCTCAAATTTTAAGGGGAACATAGAGAAATCCAAATTTGCTTATATACTCTTGGATAACTTGTCATATTAGTATAAGAACAGAAGGGCCATGTTTTGATGCAGTAAGATTCTGTTTCTTATGACACACCACAAACCCATATTGTAGTTAAAACATGTCACTCGAGTCAGCTGAGTTGGTTCTGGTCATGCTAGCTGTGCACAAGTTTTTGTCTGTGTTACACATTTTGTGTAAAATTGAGACCATTCGGTGAATAGTTCAAACTTCACATGAACATTTGTCCAATAATCTGAATATTTTGATTGTAATAGAGTAATTCCCAATTTACCCCAAATCTTCATCATACTCTTCCCATGCAGAACATCAAAGAAACAAAGTTTGCAGAAGGGCCATTATCAAAAGAAAAAATTTGAAAAATTAAGAAAACTATATAATGATTTGATCCAAGGCAGCAATACCTGCCCTTGAATAATTTTTCAGGGTCACATTTAAGCAGATGAGCTGTGTCCACCCTGCTCTTGGACCCTTCATTGAATTCTTATACTTGAGATGTTGGCATTTTCACATGGCAGGAAAATAGAAGTTGCAGTCAAGAAAACCGCAACATCTGGAACAGGAGGAAAGGTTTCACTGGAAAGAACTTGACAAAACTCTGAAAACAAAGTTCTAGACTTTACTAATTTATTTTGGCTGCAAAGCCGAGCTCAATGCAAAGCTCAAAGAGGATTTGTCCGAGTCTCCTTTCAAAGAAATAAAAAGCCAACCCGCACTAAAATTAATGCATTGACTGCATAAACAGTGGAGATAGTTATCTGATACTGAGGGAATAGAGCCTCAGTAGGCCTTTTTGTTATTTATGGGATTATTATTGGAGGAAACAGAAGCAATTAGATATCCCTCTGCTTTCAGAGCAGGGGAAGGAAAAAAGGTGTCAAACATAGTTTTTCAATTTGGTCTCTTGATCATTCCATTCTCGCTACATCTTAAAATCCAAATATACATAAGCCCCTGTGCCCCACTCACTGGCCTCAGCTGTTCCTTTGACTATTTCTCCTTTATCCTCAGAAAACTCCAAGGATATTAAATGATGTATGGAGAACTAAAAAAAAAAACTTTTTAAAAATCTGCCTTTAAGAATAAAATACATTTATGTATATGATCAGAAAAGCAATGTGTGTGTATGTGTGTGTATTTGTGTGTGTGTGTGTGTGTGTGTGTGTGTGTGTGTGTGTGTGTACATAGTAGTGGAAGAAAGCAATGAAAAGAACCCTGAGAAAAAAACACTCTTGTAAAAAAAAAAACAACAGCAACATTTGTCATTCTTTTGTCCTCCTACCTTCTGAAGCCCCCATTTTGGGGGCAAGTCTTTTTAGGAGTCAAGTGAGGGTGTGGCAGACACTCAGGGTGTCAGGACACATATGTTTCTGGTCAGATGTTTGAGTAAAGTATGAGCTCAGTTAATGATGTTTTAACTACATCTGTTCATCTATGCCTGAAATGATGGCGTATGGTATTTGACCAGTTGGCAGCGGTCACAACACCCCTGAACACCTATGTGTCAGATGGCAGAGGTATCAATGTTTTGGCCAGGGCATCCCATGGTGTGATCTTTGTGGTAGTCCTGGCTATGGAGATTTCCCCTGGTATCTCTCCCTGTTTCCTGAAATTTCCCCCAAATCTGTATTCCTGCAAATCCATTCAGTAAACTTTACTACTTAAATCAGGCAGAGAGAGTTTCTATTGCTTGTAATTGACTATGTGGGCAGGCAATCTATAAGCCCTTAAGTAAAAGTAAAGTAAAGGCCCTCCCATTGATCATCGATTTGCTCGAGCGGGCCCAGTAACGTCTCCACTGGAGACTTTGTTGTTTCTGTGTTTGGCATATCGAATATGACACGGGGAGCTTGCCAGGCTCTGCCGTGCAGGCTCAATACTCGATACTCTCCGTAGCTTGCCGGGCTCTCTGAGAGGGGCGGAGGAATCGAACTCAGGTTGGCCATGTTGGCTGCGTGCAAGGCAAATGCCCTACCGCTGTGCTATCGCTCCAGCGGCAGCACATATACTAAAATTGGAACAATACAGAGAAGATTAGTATGGCCCCTGCGCAAGGATGACATAAGCCCTTAACTCAGGGAAAACTTCCATGACTATTTCAGTGGGTAGTACTCTCCCCTTTGTTCTGTATGCACACATAGGCAATGTGTTTTATCTTGCCATGAAGGGGGTGGTGGGGTGGTGTGACAGTAAAGTTTTTGAGACCTTTACTTTGCCTTCAATTTGCATTCAGAGGGTTTGTTTCCCACTTCTCTCAGCAGCACTCAGGCATGTTTGTAATTTTCCTTAGTGTCTTGCAAAACTGTTCAAAATAGGTATTTCCCTGAACCATGTGATATTTGATAATGATGATAATAATATGAGTTTGATTTCATTTCTGAGTGCCTGCTATTTATTATATCCCTTAACTGCTCTTTATGGAGGTTAGCTCATTTGTTCTTTATAAAATTTGAATACAGTCATTGTTGCTTCATTAAATCCTTGCAATATTCCATGAGGAAGATTTTATTCCTATTCCCATTTGGCAGATGAGTAAACCCAAGATAAGAAATATTGAATAAGTTGTTTTACTTTCCTTTTTTTAATGTATCACCATGATGAACAGTTACAGACTTACAAACTTTCATGCTTATGGTTTAGTCATATAATGATCGAGTACCCATCCCTCCGCCAGTGCCCATTTTCCACCACCAATGATCCCAGTATCTTTCCCACCACCCTCACCTCATTGGCCTGCGATCCCCTCCCCCACCTCCCCTGCCGCACCCCCCCCCCCCCCATGCCTCTGTGGCAGGCACATTCCCTTTTGCTTTCTCTCTCTGCTTTTGGGTGTTGTGGTTTGCAATATAGGTATTAAGTGGCCATCATGTTTTGTCTATAATCTACTTTCAGCACACATTTCCCATCCCAAGCAAGCCCTCAAAGCATCCTTTACTTGGTGGTCCCTTCTCTATCTGAGCTGCCTTTTCCCCCAGCATGTGAGGCTGGATTCCAAGACCTGGAGCAACCCTCCTGGTCCTTATCTCGACTATCCTTGGGTGTTAGTCTCCCATTCTGTTACTTTATATTTCATAAATGAGTGCAATCTTTCTATGTCCGTCCCTCTATTTCTGACTCATTTCATTTAACATGATACTCTCCAAGTTGATTCACTAATATGCAAATTTCATGACTTCATCTTTTCTAGCAGATGCATAAGATTCCATTGTGTAGACTTACCAAAGTTCCTTTAACCAATCATCTGTTCTCTGGCACAGGTTTTTTCCAGATCCTGGCTATTGTAAACAGTGCTGCAATGAATATACAAGTGCAGGTGCCGTTTCTATTATATTTTTGTGCATCTCCTTTCCCAAAAGTGGTATTGCTGGGTCAAATGGGAACTCAATTTCCAATTTTTTTGAGAAATGTCCATACTTTTTTCCAAAAGGGCTGAACCAGTCAGCATTCCCACCAGCAGTGAAGGAGAGTCCCTTTCTCCCCACATCCATGCCCAAACTGGTTATTTTTGTTCTTTTGAATATGTGTCAGTCTCTGTAGTGTGAGATGGTATCTCATTGTTGTTTTGATCTGCATCTCCCTGATAAAGAGCCATTTTTTCATGTGCCTTTTGGGCATTCGGATTTCTTCTTTGAGAAAGTTTCTTTTCATTTTATCGCCCCATTTTCTGATGGGGTTGGGTGTTTTTGTTTCACTTTTCAAGCAGGAAGAGGTACTTAGAAAATTTGTACTCAAGTTAGATGACTCCAGAGACTTCTTCCCTTAATCTATTTCACTACTAAGGTCATTAATATTTTTACTTGTCCTTACTTTTCATAACTGGTTAGTGAGTACAGATTGTTCACAGTAATCCTGCTCTGTGAAGATGCTGCTTTAATGTTAGAAGATAATGAAGAAATGATGAACATACTCTTTTATTAGACTTTTTTTTGGTTTATGGGCCATACTTATCTGTGTCAGGGCTTTTCCTGATTCAACATTCAGGGATCACTACTGGCAAGGCATGGAGACAATATTTGGGCTGGGAATATAGAGCCCTGTTTAGCTTAGTCTTACCGCGGTACCAGGGCATACTCTTTTAATTTGAGGCTCAACATAAAATAATATGCCCAAAAGAGTGTAATATGGTTTCCATAGCATTTTATTTTTTAGTTTAAGTATTTTTTAATGGAATCATCATGAGATAGTGCATTATAAAATTTTTCATGATTTAATTTCAGCCATAAAATGTTCCAGCACTGGTCTCTCTACCAGTGTAATTTCACAGCACCAGTGTCCCCAGTTTACTTTCCAGTCCTTCTAACCACCCCCCAGCCTTGCATGATTCTATGGCAGATAACTCTGTTTTCTCTCTCTTTCTCTCTCTTTCTCTTTCTCTCTCATTTTAGGCATTATGGTTTGCAAAAACCAGATGCTGAAAGGTTATTTGTATATTCTTTTATCTGTTTTCAACACTCAGTTCTTGTCCAGAGTGATTATTTCCAACTAGTATTGTTATAATAGATCCTCCTCTATCCTAACTACCCTCCATCTTCCACACCATTGATCAGTCCTCCTGGCCCATTTTCCATGGCCTTGGATATTAGTTTCATATATTTTTTATATCTCACAAATAAATGCAGTCATTCTATACCTGTTCCTCTCCTTCTGACTCATTTCACTCAGCATGGTACTCTCCAAGTCTATCCATTTATAGGAAAATTTCTTGACCTCAATTTTTCTAATAGCTATGTAGTATTTCATTGTGTGGATGTACTATAATGTCTTTATCCATATGTCTGTCCTTGGGCACTCAGGTTGTTTCCAGATTATGGCTATTGTGAATAGTTTTGCAATGAACATAGAAGTGTAGATAGTCTTTCTGCTATCACACAGCATTTTCAATAGATTATCTAACTAGAGAATAACTACAGAGAACAATGCCAAAATATGTAACAATATGTGGGACTCAGAGTAAAAAGAAGAGAGAGGAGATAAGTTTATGGAGTGATTTGTAAGGTAAAATATGTTTAAAGAAATTTCTTGAAACTTAATCTTATGCTTGAAGATAAATTGAGAGCTTCACAGAATTTTATTGCCAGGTTATTAGAGAATATAAATGTCAGGAGTTTGGGTTGATTTTTTGTTGGCATATCTTTAAATCTGAAGAGATGAAGAGACTTTGTATTTGTTCATTATTAATAAAATGGAATCTGGGGTCTGAAAAATAGTACATCAGGTTGTGTGTTTGTCTTGCATGTGGTTTACTTGAGTTTGATCCCCCATAGTGCATATGGTTCCCTGAGCATGCAAGAAATGGCCCTGAACGTAGAGCCAGGAGCAAACTCTCAGAATAACTGAGTGTGACCCCAAACCAGAATAATAATATTAACAATAATAATAATAATAATAATAACTATGATTGTGGGGCCTCCCCACTACTGCCAGAGAAAATAGATATTATTCAGCATAGGATACACACCACCATTTTGAAATGGCAACTATTCTGCACCCAAAGCTCGCTTAGTGTAAAATTTGTACAGCCATCACCATGGCCTTGAGGCATATATCAGGATTACAGAATTATCTAGAAACCTTGATTCACACCAGGATGTGGAAACCTGTGGTCAGCCACTTCTAGGAAAGAGATGAGACATGAACTTCCCAGACGTTAACAACCAATAAGAGTTGACATGGCACTTGCCTAGCCCAAACCAACTGGAGGTGGCCAATCAAGTAAAAGGTCACCAGGAAGTTAGCTAGACCACCAATAATTGGTCAACTTGCAGAAATCAGGGATATAAAGAGTGTGAGAACAAAGGAGGGAGTTGCTTTCCTACTAGAGGGGACAGCCTTTACTGGTCAGCTTTCTCAGCTTTCTCAGTTTCTGAACTCAATGCTTGTTTGACTTGTGCCAAACAAAACTTTATACTACAAAGCTCATTGCTTTGTGTGGCATTTCAGACACTGGACCCTAACATTTGGGGGTTCATCTGACTGCCTGGACCTCAAAGGGTTTCCAGAGTCCCTGATAGTGAAAGGTTTCCCAAAATTGGTAGTCTGGGCACATCACAGTTGACAAGCTGAGAGTCTTCAATTCCTCCAAAGGTAGGTTTTGTCTGTCTGGGAAGGGCCCCATCAGTGGGCTTAAAGGAGAGAGAAACTGGACTCAATATTGCTCTCTCATGAGGCTGGGGTGAGTGAGGGATGTCTCTCAGTCCCAGAAGTCTTTGGGAGAAGACTGGTGTCTGAAACTTTCTTGGGTTTCTTTCTTTCTTTCTTTCTTTCTTTCTTTCTTTCTTTCTTTCTTTCTTTCTTTCTTTCTTTCTTTCTTTCTTCCTTCCCTTCCTTCCTTCCTCCTTCCTTCCTTCCTTCCTTCCTTCCTTCCTTCCTTCCTTCCTTCCTTCCTTCCTTCCTTCTTTCTTTCTTTCTTTCTTTCTTTCTTTCTTTCTTTCTTTCTTTCTTTCTTTCTTTCTTTCCTGGGACTATCTTTTGTGTCAGCTCTCATTTTCCCATGAGGGTGATGGTTGTAGTGTGCAGTGTGGGACTTTTAATGAGAGAAATAGAGACAGAAAGTTTCTATATCTGTTTCTATTTCTCTCATTAATAGTCAAGAGGCCAATGTGAGAGATCTGGAGAAAAGTTTTGCAAAGGAACCATCTTGTTTTAGGTTTTTTTTCTTTTTGGGTACAGAGTTTACTCCAGGCTCTGTACTCAGGAATCACCCTTGGCGGTGCTCAGGGGACCATATGGGATGCCCGGAATCAAACCTGGGTTGGCCGCGTGCAAGGCAAATACCCTACCCACTGTACTATGCTCCAGTCCCTTGTTTTAGAATTTTATGATTTAGTTTGCCTGCTTTTTATTAATAAAAGCACTTTCTTGACCCATTTTAACAAGCAGAAAACAGGTTTTTCAGACTGGGAAATGGGTGACAAGGTTTACAATTGACTGAAAGGGCTAATTTTGCTCTCGGGACTGCCCCTTCCTTTCTCAATCCATCAGTTTTCTCCCTGCTATTCTTGAAGGATCAGATCGATTGGTCAACTGTATATGTGTGCTTGTGATCAATGTGATGTTTGTGATCAATTCATCTGCCCATCTGTCTATCTGTG